ATATAGGCTTATTGTGAACACAGCAACGCTTTTTAACCAAACAGTAATCAATGTACATTACTCCTGAGAGCTCAAGGGCAACACAGGAAATCTAAAACTGTCAGAAAAGTAAATCAAATATTTTATATGGATGACATTTTTTTTAATTCATTCATTTCTCTCTGTCTTTCCCATACAGTGAAATTGTAGGAACAGAACCCAACCCATGACCTGTTTTGTAAAACTGTGCAAAAAAAAGTAACCATAAAATTCTTAAGCTCTATTATTGTCCTGCTGCCACTCTAGTGTAGGTTAGATTTCTATAACGTGCAGAGAAAACTTGCTGAAGAGCTAAATGTTTAAGCCAGCTTTTTCAGTTCTGCTGCTGTGTTCCCCAATTCCACCATCTTAAAGCTAAATTAACTTACTTATGATGTTTGAACATCAAACAGCAGAAGAAGAGAATGACTAATAATCAGCTACCATAAGTCTTGTTAACATTTCTTCCACAAAGACAAGAATTACTTTTCAAATATTTTGAATTTGGATATGCAGCACTAATTGCCAAGAGATTGTATCCCAGCAGCTGGCTGAAAGTCTGGGATTTATTACAGAAATGTCTCTAAACACAGAGAACGATTGCTGGCTCAAACAAACAACATCTGCAAAATTAAGCTTTTTCTTGGTTTTAGCAGCCAGCAGCCAAAACAACAGAAATGATACAACATTGCCATGTCTTTATTATCAGCGAGTGGAAAAGAACTGTCTTAAACAAAAGGCACATGTCAGAGACTTGCAACATTTCCTTTTGGCCACGCCACAGTGACACATTAAAGCCCAAAAAAGGAACTGAGGGTTGACTCAGTTTAAACAGTCAGACTAACTGAGGATGGACTTTTTTTCAAGCATCAATATGGGCTCGTTTACAACCACACAAACAGTACAGGCACTATAGAAAAGAAACTACATATTTGTAAGTATGAAGAAGTGCATTTCATATCCTTTAACATTATTATGACTTTTTCCTTATTTAGTTATTATTAATTTATTGTAACTTTTTATGGCTGTTAATGTCATTATTTTGTTATTGTCAACATGATTATGTGTCAACGGCATCAACAAAGAAAATATAAGCAGACTTGACAAAAAGTTAATCATTTACAACATCTTAATAGCATAACAAGCTATTAAGCCACTTACTCACCTCTTCGACACTACAGGGTAAAACCACACGGCTGCAAAAGAGAGAAACATATGATGAGTAACTTTCATGAAGCACGCATTTCTCAAATCCGCTGTTTCATATTAGACAATTTCATGAGATAAACTATCATTCCACATCAATCTAAAGCAGCGACCCATATATGAGAAGGAGTATTCTTCTAGACGTATGCCGACATTTGTATTTTTAAGAGTGAGTTAGAGCACATACTAATAGGACAAAAAAAAGAAAACACTGCAGATGCATGTGGCATAAATAATACAGTAATAATACATCCTAAAACAATAAAACTGACTCTGGAGCCTGAAATGTCTCTACATCTTGGCAGTAAAGCCTGTATAGCCTTTGTTATTGAAATTATTTATAAAAAGGTTCAGTCTCTAAATATTACTCATTACCATGCCAAATCAGCATGCACATTTACTCACGCCTTGTCTGTATTCACAATGAATGCAACATGACAATTGCCTGTCAGGTCACACAGTATGCAGAAAAGTCCAGAAGAAGCAATGAGAACATAACTACAGGGACTCCGGATTACAAAACCAGAAGAACCACGATGACACACAGAGACCTGCTCACTGCCAGGAACAGGAAGACACTCAAAGTTACTCTTCCTGAGGGAAAAATACTTCTAGAACCACCCATAGTGACATACTGCTGACATCAACAAGATGAGAGGAACCTATTACTAGACCTGGTTGAAAAAGTTAGAGCTGAATTAAGACAAAACTTTATGGGACTACAGAAAGTTTATTTTGTTGTTGTTGTTTGTTTGTTTTTTAATAATGTGAGTTAGGTGGGGCCAGAAATACAGTGAGCTTAGCCGAAGCAGTTTAATTAAGAAGACAAAACAGATCTGAATCTATTATTCAAGATTTCTAACCATTAAAGACCATCCCTGGTCAAACAAGGCTGAACTAAATGTCATCCACCATCAGATGTTTTGTTTCAATGCTGCTAGGACTTGTAATTAGTGACGTTTAAGTTTGAAGCAAACAAAATGTGCAGGCAACATCAGAAGATGTCAAATTTATCAAACCATGTGAGCCTGAGTGCAGTGAGTGATTGTGGGGTGTTAGGGATGCGGGAACAGTCTTCCTTCACTCCTGTAGGCCAGTAAGTGGCCACATGCAATAGTGCAGGTAGTGCCAATTCAGACTTCCAGTGCTTCTTTTTTGCTTACCACACAGGGACTTTCATGGAATTAGGGCGCCACAGTGCTGAGGTGCATGCTGGCAGCAATACTGTGTTATATTTAAGGAATAAGACAATGTTGTAACAAGGTTTTTACATAAGTCAAATCTAAGTCAATCCTTATTTTCAGAATTCCCGTGCGATGCAAAACATGACCCATTCACATCCTCCATCTACCCATTTATATTCACTTTCTTTATCTCTAAAAACGTTTAAGTGTTCAGTCTTCCTGCCTTGAACCCAATTCATTTGGTAAGATGTGAAGTAAGAAGCCTGCTTACATATTCAGCCTAACCCAAGGATAGCGGTTTTACAAATGGAAACTGAAATCTTTTATGCAATTTCAAAACCCAAAAGGCTAAGGCTAACAGCTGCTAGCTTCGTCTTTACTACATGCAAAATGATTGATGCTTGAAACAGACAGGAGTGAACAAACTACCAATTCGTTAAGTAATCAAAATGTGTTATGCTGGGGTGATTAGCTGGCGCCGACAGTTTCTGAGTCAATACTGCAAAGACAGCGAGAACTTACAGCTTCCAATTAACTTCCCCTCAGGTTAGGCAGTTAGCTAAATTAGCGTTAGCAACTCGGGTGCCAATTCGAGGCTTTGAAAAAGAAAATGTCTGCGCTTTAAAACCACATAACAAAAACCGCAGATTGAAGCGTTTAGAAGCCATCAGCTTGGCGATAACATATGAGAAACTACAGGAAACCAGCAGCTGTCAGAGAATGACAATCTGCTGTCAAAGCCGGTAGGCCAGAGACGCTCTTGGCCAATCCCATCCTCCCCTCGTGTGCCTGACGCTGACCCCGAGACAAGATGAAAAGTTTGCATCAGCGCACAGGGACTGAAAAAAACTGCCGTGAGTGCACGGATCTATACTAACCTATAGAGTGCTTTCAGAAATAATAAGAAAAGTACAGTTTAAACAGAAACCCCGCACTTACTACTCCTTGATGAGAACCATCTTAACTTCTTCCTCTCAGTAGTGCCCAGCTACCACTAACTGACGTCATGGGCTACTAAGTGAGGCGGCAGGTCCCTCCTTCTGCAGCGGTGATTTGCGGAATGACGGAGAGGTGGGCCTAACGATTGGCATCATCCAATGAAATCTCTCTTTGGTGACTTTAAACCCACCCACTGTATTTGAGGATGGATTACTTAGAATCCGTTATTCCACACTTGAACGCGTAAAAAATATATAAATATACTAAATATACTAAATATATAATATATTAATAATTTAAAAAGTTGAGCATGTGGTTCCATTAATCTATAAATCTGTAATAAATAATTACTCCATATTTAATTAAAGACGGTACAAAGACACAAACACTGAAACCGAAATGTAATTTTCTTTTGTTGTTACTGAAATAAGCAAGGTATTCCCTGAAAAAGATGACTGGATAGTAGCTTACGTTATCCCAAAACCTATATATACTGTGTAGGATTAGGTGTGCAAGTTACCCATGTCTTGTGCATCAGTCCATATTTTTCCATATTTGTTGCACCATATTTGTTTCAGGTCATCAAACAAATTGTAATATTTAACAGAGAAGTAAATATAAACTGCAGTATTTAAATGATAATTTCATTTAAAAGCTACTATACCTATCAGGCCCTGTTAATAACCAGACCTGGGTGTGACTAGTTTAACTGGACTAGCTTTCCAAAAACATAAACACAACCCCAAAAAAAAAAACCCATAGAAGTTTGACAAACATACAAAAAGAAACCCCCGTAAAGGGCAAAAAGTGTCAGGGCACTGTCTGTGACCCAGTGTTTTCTAGTTCTGGACATCATGCTATTTGCTTTTGAATATTCATTGCGATTCTTAGGTTCATGGTTATTCTTTCATCATGTTTTAAGTTTGTTTCTGTTAGCCTTCAGTTCTTAGCAATCTTAGTTCTCTCTCAGTGTCTAATCTTCTTCTGTGTTTAGTCAGTCTTTGTCGCCGTGTTTACTCGTGTCTCCCCAGTCACTGTGTCAAGCTTGCGTCTGTTGTTTCCTGTCCTATTTTGATAGTCTCCTGTCCTGTATCCAATGTGTTCACTTTGTTCAATCTGATTTGTTCCTCCTGTGTTGTCCAGCTGCCTCTACTTCCCTGATCATCCTTTTGTGTATTTATTGTGTGAGTTTCCTTTTGTCCCTCGTTATATCATCTGTTCATCTAAGCTCATGTTTCTGATCTCGGTTTCCATGTTTCAGGTTTTCACATTCCAGGTATCTAGTGTTTAGTATATACCTTCCTCCAGTTTAGCATTGTTAGTTTAAGCTTAGTCCCCGTCCATCTTTCTTTTTAATTTTTTTGTACAGCCAAAAATAAACTGTTTGCTTTTCGTTAAGTCCAGTTCCGTCTCCTTAGTCTGTATTTGCGTCTGCTCTCTCTACTCCAGAGGATCTGACGTGACAAAAAGAGGGCAAATATTTTTCTCATTATATTGTTCATATTACTTTCAGCTTCAGCCATGTTATATTTGTACTATATTCAAGTAAATATAAGATTTAAATGATATGCTAATCATTTCTCTTTTTGCGACAGCCGTCCCAACTTGAACTGGAATAAGGTCTCTATAGATGTATGAAGCCACTAGGGCTGCACGATATTAGGAAAACCTGCGATGTGCGATAACTGTGATCAATACTGCGATAACGATATGACTTGCGATAAAATAAATAGCAAAAAAAAAACAAAAAACAAATACATAATTTCCGTTTTACTGCACAGTTTTATTTAATGAAAGCTGCTGTATTAGCAGTGTAACAACAAAGTGCAGTCAAACATTGAAACATTGCCCCCATAAAAAAATTTCTGAGGCTTGAATTCTGAAAGACATCCTTCCCGGTCTCTATAATTAGTTTTAAATAAACATAACTTAAATTATACTGCAAATTATCTCTATGCAGTTGTTCATCATTTTACCACTCACCAAGTAGTTATGATGCAAGTCAAAACTGGAGTGGAAACTTTACTAGATTAAACTATAGGTAAGAACTTGTCTGCTGTGGGAACACACCAAAGAACAATTGTCTACCTTTGTGGTCGTACTGGCCAAGACTAATATTATCAACAATTAAGAACAATGTAGGTAGTGTATTTTTGTAATTTTTTGAAAAAAAAAAAAGGTTTCTCTATCTTGCATTCATCCTTCCTGAGTGAATGTTTTTTATGGCAAGTTCTTGTTAAGGAAAACCAACATGTTTACTCTCCAAGGTTTTAAACATGTGCGCTGACATGTTACTATGTTTCCTGATGTACTAAAAAGTCTCTCTGAAGGTGAGCTACTTGCAGGTATGCAGAGATACTTCCTTGCAAGCTTGCTTAGCTGTGGGAATGTCATTTTGTGGAGTTTCCACCATGCCAAGGGGTCTTCCTCACTGTCTATGGCCGTGGATAGCAAGTAGCTGTTAAGCTCAGCTTCAACAGCTTGTGAGAGATGCATAAAAGAGGAGGTAGGGATTGGAGCTGCCTTGAAGAAACTGCCCAGGGACTTTTTTGCCTTCTTCAGGGGACGACTGGGTGGATCATCTGTCTGGGCCTCTGGTTCAGCGGAGCTTCTCTCCTGGAACAGAAAGCAGATTATAAGAAAAGTAAACATTTTGGACTAAATATGAATTGAAAGGTTTTATATATAAGCATGCATGAATACCTTCTGTGCCACTGCTTCCATTTCTGACATCACTCTGGTCTTGATGTCTGAGACTCGATCAGTGCTGGTGTAGCTGACTTTAAATCTGGGATCCATGAAGCACGCCATGTCCATAAGTTCCTGGGTAGCTGGATTTTCATATTTAGTAATCAGGTACTCGAGGATTTTCTTCTTAATTGATTTTGTCAAATCACTGTCTTCTTCCTTCTCTGCAAGCACCGACGTCTTCATCAGATGAAGGACTGGTTTTACATATGAAACACTAACGTAGCTCTCACCAGACAGGGCATCTGTAAAGTCTTGCAGGGGGTGTAATGCCTGGTTGACAGACTCCAGTACCTCAAGATCCTGCCAAGTAGGAATCAAGTGTCTTGATTTCTTGTCTGCTGAGATGACATCAGAAATGGCCCGCTGCTGCTCCAGGACTCTCTCAATCATCTTCTGCCTGGAACCCCACCTGGTTGGGCATTCTGTGATCAGTGTGTGCTCTGGGAGGTTGAGCTTCTGCTGTGCTTTTTTCAGAGCCATCTTTGCTTTCCAGCTGTGGCAAAAATGTCCAACTAACTTTTTGCAAAGTCCAATGGCTCAGGCAATGCGGGCATCATCTTTGATAGAATTTTCTGGAGAAATAAGAGGAAACAAAAAAACTGTCATGTTTAAAACCTTTTTTTTAAAAAAAAAAAAACTAATTGAAATTTATAACTAAAGTTGTCTAAAAAGGTAACATTATCCTTATCAATATCAATTTGATAATAATGTATAGCACATTTTCATTGCTAAAAAGATCTGCCTTGAATAAAACTTACCGATTGCAAGGTGCAGCCTGTGTCCAAAACACTGAAGTCTGACCCAGTTGTTTAGCTCCGTGGCTCTCACAACATTGGCACCGTTGTCTGTGGTGATGCACACTTGTCGATCTTCTTTAAGATCCCAGCTGGCTAACACCTCACGTAATACATGGGCTATATTTTCACTAGTGTGGGAGTCTGGAAAATACACAGTCTCTAGACACCGTGTTTTCAGTTCAAAGTCTTCGGTGAGGAAGTGCACTGTGAAACTCATATATGGTTCCGTTGTACGACTTGACCATAGGTCTGTAGTGCTTGCGTAGTTTTCAGCTTGGCTCAGTTCAAACATGACGGTCTTGCGGCATGTTTCATACATTTGTGGAATGGCGACATGTGAAAAGTAGTTTCGTGAGGGGATGCGGTATCTCTGGTCCACTTTATGTATCAGACTGGTGAAGCCCTCTCTGCTAACTGTATTTATAGGCATCATGTCTTTAGCCAAAAAATGTGTAATGGCCTCTGTTATTTCTTTGTACCGCTTCGACGTTTTCTCATAAGGAATTCCACTTGAAAAACTCTGATACAGAGACGGCTGTTGGACTGCTGCGCTCTTTGTCTTAACATTAGCAACCTTTGTTTGGCTAGCCCTATCTTTCTGGAACTCTTCAAACAGTTCTCTGTGGTTGTATTGAAGATGATGGTGGAGATTAGTCGTGTTTCCTCTGGTGGTTGCCACGAGTGTTCGGCAAGTTTTGCAGAGTACCTGTGTTTGGAGAACGTCGTCTTTATCAAATCCAAAGTACCTCCAAATAAGTGAGGTACTATTTTTTTTTTTTTTTTTTAGCCACGAGTTCAGTAGCATTCTCGTCACGCGTCTCGCTCTCAGCCATTACAACTCTGACTCGTTGCTGCAGCGTTGTTCGCGCCCGACCTGCGTAGGAGGCGGGCCTCTAATCCATTTGATTGGTTAATGCCGTGAAGGGCTCTATTCGACTGGTCAAATGTGTAAATGGATTTCTTTGATTGGTAAATTCTTTACAGCACGTGTGTAAACATTTTAAGGTACCCAATTATCGCAGTTTACGCCGTCTTTTGCGATGGGCCCATCGCGCAGGCTGATATCGCGATGACAATAAATTTTCGATTTATCGTGCAACCCTAGAAGCCACACAAAAGAATAATGTCAAGAATACAAGAAAGCAAACATGATGCTTTATTGAAACAGTTTACTGATAAATGACAGATGGTTGTCATGAAACTTTCATGTTTAATCTAAAAAAATCATGGGCTAAAAAGTCATACATGGTACTTAACACTGAATAGCAAGAGAATCCATGCTTCAGAGCAGACACTCAATTCACAAAGAAATCAGGCAAAATGCCCTTTTGATTTCAATAAAAAATATTAAATCTTTTTCTCCACTCTATCCATCTTTACATGGTACAGGTTTGTTCACTTTTTAATCATATAAAAACGCTTAATACTGATTGTGAAACACTGGAATTAATTTACAAAACATAATAATAATTATTATATTAATAACAATAACAAACAATAACAATAACCATTAAATTTAAAAACAAAAAAAAAAAAGGAAGAAATCAGTCATAGCTGTTGCATCTTGGCCCACACGAACAGCAACGTTTTTTGGGGGAAAAAATACCAAATGGCATTTACATCTACCTGACACACAGTTACACACAAACACAGTATCAGGTCGTTGAGTTTTTTTCATTGCCATTTACAGTGTTATGGGCACAAAGACTAGACGCTCTCTAAAGCACTCATGTGCCTCTGCAGAATCAAACTCACAACCAAAGAAATCCTTCTCGCTGTCAGTCAACCTTGATGGACCAATGGCGGTCCCCAAAAAGTGCCCTACCCCTCCAGCACCCAGGATAGTAAATGATAGATAAAAGTATTGGACCGTTTTAAATGTCTCAGCATTTAGAGGAAGGGAAAAATCTTCCAGGTGACAGGAACTTGTATCCATTGCCAGCAGGTAGTCGGATAGAACGAGCACCAGGGCTACTGCTAGTGGAAATAGTAGGTGATGGGGCCACTTTTCTGGGGTTGGAACAGTGATGTCCATTGGAAGAGTTCTTGCTACCCCTATCCAGTGACTGCAGCCCCAGCTCCCGCAGCTCCAGGCTGTCTTGGGTGTCGTTAGGGGAGCAGTGGCGCGGGGAGAGGTTCAGAAGACTTAGTACATCTCTGCTGGCAGAGGCGAGAGGACCGGGTGTGCTGTGGACAGCTTTGACAGGACCTAGATGTTGCTGTTGTTGGGCCGCAGCATTAGCCCAAAAGGTCTTCAGATTGTGGATAGCTTGTACTTTTTCATCAATGACCCCTCTTCTTAGTCGATCCAAATCCGCCGTGTCAGCTGATGTAGAGCAGGCAGAGCCTGTAGAGGAGTAGGAAAGAGCAGGAGATGGAGCACTACCAGCAGGGGACTGGTGACCAGAACTGGGAGACACGTTGCTCGGGGAACGAGAGATGTGGCCACTGTACGGGGAGCTCGGGTACTTTAATTTGAACTGTGCGTGAGTGTCTGAAGTGGGTGAAGGATGGCTGCCCTCCTTTTGGGAAGACTCAGAGACCGCAGGGCTATTGTAGCCAGAGCTTATCTTCTGCAGTGAAGAAGATCGGGAGGGAGGTTTGGGTCTTGGGGAAGACTGAGCTCGACCACTAGCGCCGCTGTTAGGACGGCTGAACGCACTAGTTTCAGAAGAGCGGAATGCGCTACTCCGTGCTGAGGTTCCTCCAGCTGTCCCGGCCTCTGCACCAGCCCTCTGAAGACTACCCACAGCACGCAAATGGCTGTGAGTCTCTTCCAGAATCTTCTGGGCCAGTTCCTGAGGATCTAGAGGGACAGTTTTTTCTTCCTGAGACTTGACAGTGCTGTCCGTCTCAGTACTGGACTGGTCAGATTCTCCTGTATCTGAGCTGCTCACCTTACCGACTTTCTGAAACGGTGAGTTTGGGCTGGGCACCAGGTTTGTTTTGACGGGAGATGTTGGGGTGCTGACACTGCCCCTCGATGATACAGAAACAGTGTACCCTCTCCCCGTTCCTGTGCTGGAGCCACCGACGACACCCCTGCCTCCCCGGTGGTGGCGCTGGCTGTGGCCTGGTGGCAAAGGCAGAGAGTCACAATGACTTCCCAGGGGCTCACTGCTGATAATGGAAAAGCCCTCATATTCCTCCTCATCTCCGCGGGCTCCCGCCACTGCAGCAGCTGCTCCATGGGGAGACGAGCGGCTGCGAGGAACATGAGGGTGTTTGTGGACCGAGTAGTGTGCTGTGACCCCACCGCGCTGCCGATGAGCAAGGAAATCACAGTCTGACTTGGAAGCAAAGCTCATAGAGGAGGCTACAGAGCTAAGGCTATAAACAGAAATGGCATCAGATACTTGATTGTCCAGGCAAGGAGGAGAGAAGGGAAGGCTTGAGTATCCCATGGGCAGGGGGTTTGACACAGACTGGGCTGAAGCTAGGGACTCAAGGGAGGATGAGCTGTCCAGGCTCAAGCGTTTGGGCAGTTCTGTGGAGTCTGAACATAAAAGAAAAGAGATGATGAAAAATGTGACATGAGATAAACACAGGATAAAAACGGGCTGTTAAAAAGTGCCAATGCACAGTTCAGATTCCAGTGTACAGGGAATCAAGTTAGGAGCTCAACAACAATCAGCAAAGAATGAAAGTGCATAAGCAAAAAAATACATTTACTTACCAAAGAGTGCCAGCAGAGACTGGAGAGCAAAGTGCAAGGTGCGGCGGTTGGCTAGCTTGCCTGTCTTCAGTACTACTTCTTCTTGGCCTACCTCACATAAGTCAAACCCTGCACATGCAAAACAGGACAACAGCTGTAACTTAAATAGACATATGGTAGACAATAGGATAGGGACTTTTTTTTTTTTACATAATAGATGACTAACCAAGAGCAGCCAGAAATTCATGGCATCCTGGGAGTCTCCATAGCTGCACACTAATGGACACCTGAATGGGCAGCAGGGAGAAATCCTGTTCTTTCTCTCCTGTCTGTAGTTGGACTAGCACCTGGTGGAGCTGAAAGAGACAGGGGACAACATTACAATAAAGTAGTGGAGATGTAATTAACGGCTTAAAAGTGAACTGGGTGATCAAAGCGTTGCATCAGTAACTTAAATAACCCAAGTGAAAAAATTATACAGCTTCTTCCTTTTAATAATGATTTCATTTTCTTCTCTTTAAGTCGTCCAATTAAAACATATTCATGTATCTTGTATAAGCCTGTGTCCTAAAAAAATATGTCTGAGCCCAGTGCACGAGCAATCTTGGCAATAAAATAACTGTAGGTAAGCTGAGCTGGAAGGGTTTGGGCTTTGTAGGGTTTAACACGCGGCCCGAGAGCACACTTACGTGTTTTGTTTGGGGATTACTTTGCTTTGAACAGAGACATCTTTGTCAACTTGACGCAACTGTGCAGAAACCCCTTCTTCTCGTTTCACCCGACACGATTGAGAAAGGGTTTTTTACATCACAGATTTACCCCTGCTTCCACCCTGAAACATTCCTTTGACCTGAACCAAACCCAAGTTCTAAATCTTATATACCCCCAAATCCCTTAGATTTGACTGAAAACTAGCAAAGGAAAAACTATGAACAACACAAGACAGTAAACTTTGCATGTGGAGAGGAAAAACAACATGCATTTTCGCCAATACAAAGAGAGTTTAGCAGAACAGACAGTAAAGAGTGATTTAACAAGATAGCTATGGGATGGAGTGCTGGTAGTGAATGCACACTTACCATCGCCACCATATTTTTAACAGCCTTCAGACCACACGTTAGGAGCAGGGGAGAGAAAACAGGTGTTTAATGGCATGCACACAGGCCATTCGCAAAAAAAAAAAAGAAAAGGAAGAAAAAGAAAAAGAGTAAAGTACAAGGATTTATGGCAACAAGAGGGTACAGCAACAAGTAACATTAGTGGTTTAACAGATTAAAGTTTATTGCTTGCAGCATATATAGATTAGATCAAGTGTTTCCACTGACACACACACACTTACATTTTGAGGCTATGAAAATTGCCAATCACAAACTAACTTGATGACTTTAAGCATGTGACAGCCACATGTTACACGTAAACAGGGATAAACTACGTCAGTCCCAGATTAATTCTCAGGTGTCATAAGCTTGGGGAGGAAGAGAACAGAACTCAGACTGTAGTTAAGACTTTGGGCAACTAGTTAGAATTCAGTGCTGCATTTCAATGCAGATTAAGCTCCAGCTTGAGTTGCCAGTTCATTAGAGCGTATCCAGTCCTGACATTACCAAATTACACAGTGATAAAATCACTGATATGCTTCTTCTAGCAACGCACTTATAATACAAAGGTGTGGCAAAGTTTCAAAGAAAGTGAAAGGGGACTGCTACAATGCTTTTTAACTCTAAGTAACAGGAATGGTATTTGTCATTTGAATCAAAGACCAGTGGGTACTGGGTGCAAAACTCAACAGCATTTGTTCAGAGCTGCAGGGACCTACCCGGTTGATGAGCTGCTCTCCTGCCTCTGAAGCTGTAATGAGTTTGCACAAAGCTTGCAGAGCTGGCGGTGGCAGACCTAAGGGATTGGATCAAAGGAAGTTCTTCATCATTCATTAACAAGGCACACTGGTTTAAATGGTAGTGGTAAAAAAAAGTGCTAAACATGGGGCGATACATAGATCAATGAAATGGCGCAAACATAAATTGTGTTAAAATGTTCTGAGATTCTATCAGAGTGATGCCAGGAAGGTGTCCTGGGCCCGTATCCCTAAAGAATCTTTGTGCAAAAA